AGCATATTAAAAAGCAGAGACATTACTTTGCCAACAAAGGTCCGTCTAGTCAAGGCTATGGTTTTTCCAGTGGTCATGTATGGATGTGAGAGTTGGACTGTAAAGAAAGCTGAGCGCTGAAGAATTGATGCTTTTGAACTGTGGTGTCAGAGGAGACTCTTGAGAGTCCCTTGGACTGCAAGGATATCCAATCAGTCCATCCTAAAGCAGATCAGTCCTGGGTGTTCATTGGAAGGACTGATGTTGAAGCTAAAACTCCAATAATTTGGCCACCTGATGCGAAGAGTTGGCTCATTTGAAAAGACCCGGATGCTGGGAAAAACTGAGGGTGGGAGGAGAAGGGGATGACAAAGGATGAGATAGTTGGATGGCATCACCGACTCAGTGGACATGGGTTTGGGTAGACTCCAGGAGTTGGTGATGGACAAGGAGGCCTGGCATGCTGTGGTTCATGGGGTTGCAAATAATTGGACATGACCGAGGGACTGAACTGAACTGACCTTTGTGTTCTGCCAATCTCTTGCAACTTATGTTTATCCTCCTGTCAATTCTCCCTGAAGTTCAGAGATAAGGAACTATTTTCCATTCTTACATTTGACATGTTCTTTTTCAACTTTTTACTTTTGTGTAGTATGTTCCTTATACTAAGAAGAACTTCTCTGGCCTGTTCATTATCTGTTGAAGTCCTAAACCTTTTTTTTTCTTTTTTTTTTTAGTCTCCCAGATCTCAGTATCATCTCCTCTGTTATATCTTCTTTACCTTTTAACTTTGACTCTAAGAATATTGTACCTAGCGTTGGTCACATCACTATACTTCTGGCTTAACTAATTTCACTATTAGATTGTGAACATCTTGAAAGAAAGAACCACATCTCATTTGCCTTTGTATTCCTGTTATTTCACTCAATATTAGCAGAATCTCACTATATAGTTATTGAATTAATAAAGCTAGATGAATCAAGGGCCCTTCCTGATTTTTCATGAGTGAAACTCTCCTAGACATTGCCCTGCTTCTCTCCAAGCCTAAATGAAAGGGAGAGGAAGGGAGAATAAGAATAGGCAAGGCAGTGCTGATGACTATTGCCTATTTTGATTCTGTACCCAAACTCAGATGTTGCAGAGAGGCCTCTTGACTGCACCACTAGAAGCCTTTCACATCGCACCATTGAGGGCTGATAAATTCATTGCATTTGTTCCTTGAACAGTGTAATAGCTGAAATTCTGCTCATGTTTTATTCATCTGAATTTTGCTAGCTACTCAGCTTGTCATGTTTTTAGGTTGTGGTAGCAGCCCAAATACTTTGGAAAGTATATATGTGTGTGCTTAGCCACTTCAGGCTTCCCTGGGGGCTCAGATGTTAAAGAATCTGCCTGCAATGCAGGCAACCCGGGTTCCATCCTTGGGTTGGGAAGATCCCCTGGAGAAGGAAATGGCAACCCACTCCAGTATTCTTGCCTGGGAAATACCATGGACAGAAGAGCCTGGAGGGGGCGCTATGGTCCACGGGGTCGCAAAGAGTTGAAAACTACTGAGAGACTAATACTTTCACTTTCTTAGTCGCTTCAGTCATGTCCAACTCTTTGTGATCCTATGGTATCCAGGCTCCTCAGCCCATGGGCTTCTCCAGGCAAGAATACTGGAGTGGGTTGCCATGCCCTCCTCCAGGGGATCTTCCCAACCCAGGGATTGAATCTGCCTCTTACGACTCCTGCACTGGCAGGCAGGTTCTTCACCACTAGTGCCTCCTGGGCACTATATATATTCTTATATATGTATGCACATGTTTAAATGGTTTGCTTTAGGTTTTTGGGTATGTATTAATAAAAGGGAGATTTTCTTATAAAGATACCTTTGCTTTCAGATCCTATTGTCTGTTATTCATTTACATAAAATATTACCCCAAGGGATTCAGAGGTAAAATGTTTGAGGATGATAATAGAAATACTAATGTTGAACACTCATCGTGTCCACGTACTGTCCTTCAGTGCTTTTAATGGACTGTCCGATTTAATTCTTCAAACAGCCATGTGAGGAAAAGGGATATCATTTTTCTACTCTGTGGAAGAGAAATACAGAAATGTACACAAGTCAAGCAACTGGCCCAGATCATACAGCTGTGAAGGATCATAGACTGCATTGGGATTCAGGGTGTCTGACTCCAGAGCTTGCACTCATAATTACTACAGCTGTGGAGAGTATAATTTAGATGTAAATTTCTATTCTGCCTGAAAATCAGAGGTTGTTCTGCTGTCAGAATCTTAGCATCCTGTTAAGCCGATTCATTTTTTTTTTTCCCCTTGAAACCTGCCACTTCCTTTTTTTTCCTCTTTTACTCCCTATATTCTGCTGGTAAATGCACTCTTAAGTCCCTTTTACTTCTTCTGTAGGACAGTTTCATTACTGCTTCATGAGCCAGTGCACCATGGATTCATCTCATTATACTCTGTCTCCTTGATCAACTATGTTGTTGCTGAGATACAAGTACCAAACCGTTATCAAATACATTTATTTTTTTTGCCACCCGAAGAATTGGAAATTATCTGTGTAATTTGAGAGACTGGGATATGTATTTATTTCTTTTATACTAAGGATAAATACAGAGGCTGCAGTAAGAACAAAGACAATAGAACTAGGCAAGTACAGATTTGGATGTTTGACCAATCAATTAGTTTCCATCGAAACAAAACAAATACACAGGCCAAACTAAACTCTAAAATCAAAAGGTCTTTACTACTCTTATCAGTCAGCATTTGTTTTACTAGATCACATTTACATCTGTTAATGGAAAATTTATCTTATACAGTGTGTTTCTTGCCAATAATAGGTGATCATAAACAAGTTATTTTGTTTTGACCAGAAAAACATATTCTAGAATCTCCCTGCAAAACTAACTTTTCCTATGTGACTGTGGCATGGACTACCAAAAGTCTGTAGATTATCAGTTGATATATTTCTGAGAATCATACCATTTTAAAGCTTGTGGTGATTTCAAAGTAAAAAAGTAGCATAATCCTTTGTAAAATTTTATCTTAATAGTGTTTGGATTTGGGCGCTGAGAAGTAATTCAAACAGAAATCACACTAAGGTGCTTTGCTGTATTCCTGTTATGTGGCCCTTTTCAAAGTCAATGTTTTTATATAGTCTTTCTGTCATGTTTAATGGTTTTTATCCACCTCCTCTCTCCCATCCTTGTATAAAAATAGCAGTGGTATTCAATCACAGCTTAATAAACATTGGCCAAGTGCTGAAGGTACTTGATTCCCCAGCCACTGAAAGAGGGCTTGAATCTTTGTGTTACGTGTTCTCAGATACAGAGATGTAAACACGATTTTTCTGTTCCATTTTCAGGTCACATGTGCCAATTTAACAAATGGTGGGAAGTCAGAACTTCTAAAATCAGGAGGCAGCAAATCCACACTAAAGCACATATGGACAGAAAGCAGCAAAGACTTGTCTATCAGCCGACTGCTGTCACAGACTTTTCGTGGCAAAGAAAATGATACAGATTTAGACCTGCGATATGACACCCCAGAACCTTATTCTGAGCAAGACCTCTGGGACTGGTTGAGGAACTCCACAGACCTTCAAGAGCCCCGGCCTAGGGCCAAGCGAAGGCCCATTGTTAAGACGGGCAAGTTTAAGAAAATGTTTGGATGGGGTGATTTTCATTCCAACATCAAAACAGTGAAGCTAAACCTGTTGATAACTGGGAAAATTGTCGATCATGGCAATGGGACGTTTAGCGTTTATTTCAGGCACAATTCCACTGGTCAAGGGAATGTATCTGTCAGCTTGGTACCCCCTACGAAAATAGTGGAATTCGACTTGGCACAACAAACCGTGATTGATGCCAAAGATTCCAAGTCCTTTAACTGCCGCATTGAGTATGAAAAGGTTGACAAGGCTACCAAGAACACACTCTGTAACTATGACCCTTCAAAAACCTGTTACCAGGAGCAGACGCAAAGTCACGTGTCCTGGCTCTGCTCCAAGCCCTTTAAGGTGATCTGTATTTACATTTCCTTTTATAGTACAGATTATAAACTGGTACAGAAAGTGTGTCCCGACTACAACTACCACAGCGACACCCCTTACTTCCCCTCCGGATGAGGACGGACGTGGGGGTGGGGACTGAGACCCGAGGAATTCAGGTCACATGGCAGGGCTGTCACCTCGAGAAGAAGGTCCCATCTGTTGCCTGGAACGTGTCTACATGCTGCTCTCGTCGACTGACTGCAAATACGCTCGTGGAAAACAACCTGATGTAATTTCTGCCCAGTCAGCTTCATCTCTTGGTAGAGTCGCAAAATCACCACAGATTCTAAAGCCACACCCGAAGACACGCTCTCACACATAGACACACACCAACACACTCGCATACACATTTCAGCCGGCGTCTGTCATGATTCCTGTTGAGAGGGCTTTCATTGTCTGCCTCATAATGGTTCAGGATAAACGATCGTCAAGCAAAAGGATTAACTAGACAGTGAATGGTTTTTAGCACTTGCTGTTATGGAAATCTCTCTTTAATGTCTTGAGTACATGCTAATCAATAGTCCCCACTCATGCATTTCTACTGCTTGGAGTAGCTGTACTGGTAAATACTACTGTAGGAGTATAATGCTTGTTAAAATGGAAAAAAAAATGTGTTTTTAGAGCTCAGTATTCTTTATTTTATGAACACAACAAGTGTAGTAATTTTTTCCAGCATTCAGTAGGCACATTCAAGGTGATCCAAGATAGCTCTTTTTTCTATGGAGGGAGCCTGTTCTCAGTAAAGATGAGCAAACATTTGGAATTTACATGTGGGCAGACACTGGACTACAGCTTTCATCACTAGTCATTGGACTTTTGCAAAGTCGAGACCAGCTAAGGCTGCTTAAAACAAGTTCTGATCATTATATAAGAAGGGAAATGCCTGACAGACACCATGTAAGTTATAAGTGTCTGTCTTATCTTTACTAAACATATTGTAACAAATTCAATATCCTAGTCTTCATTTGTATGAATGGTTTGTATTGTACATAGTTTAACCAAGTGTAATTTGAGCTGCTTATTAATATTAACTTGTACTTGTCTCTCTGCTTGTTATTGGTTTAAAAAGAAAAAAAAAAGGATATGAGGAATCCATTCTATCGATGTAGCTGTGAACTCCATTAAAAAGACAAACAATGTACAAAGCATTTATTCAGCTCAAGTATTGTTGAAACCTATACATATACAACATTACAGTCTGTATTTAGATATTTTATTTCTGGACAAAATGAAATGTACATAAAAATAAAATGCTTAAAGTTGAGTTTCAATATGTACTTGTGTAAGATGGTGATTTAAATGGTTCTGACAAGAAGAAGGTGCTGGAAGACAGTCATGGTTTTGCATCTCATGTCTCTGAATTTGTATAGGACTATCTAAATTGTTATTAGTTGCCTAGTCAAAACAACTTAGGAGTCTCAGTCTCAAGCCTGGGAAACAGTTGTGGCATTCAGTATTACACACATTTTTGGTTTGTTGTCATGCTAGTTGTTCAAGAATACCAAAAAAAATCAATGAACATAAAGAGATATTTGAGCTCTCCTGAGTTAATTATAGCTAGTTGTTTTTTAATTTTCCTGTACAGCATCTTTATTTAGTAGGATGTTAAGAAGGTATTTTTTTTCTTAAAAGAAAGCCAAAATGTCTGAAGATTGTGGCTGATTTCCCCTGATTCTACCGTATCGACTCAACTGAGGAAATGACAATAGTAGTGGAGGGCTTCGATGCTCAATTTACATATAGCAAAAGGGATCAACTTACGTATAAAGCATTATTTTTGGACATTAAACTTTATTTTTAAAAAGTAATTATGGTACACAATCCCAGCATAATAAACAGAAGAAGAAATACGTTAAGGTAATATCCCATATTTGAGGTCACAAACTGGGGATTGGGATATGAAAAGTCTCAAAGGTTAACCAAAGAAGTCAAATTAAGAACATTCACTCATTCTCATCTTTTTATCATGCTGCAGAGAAATAAGTATGTTTCATATAGAAAATGATAGAAGTATTACAGGGAACCCCATACTATAGAGTTCTAAAGCAAGAACTCAGTAACTGGTTTGACTAAAGAGAACCTTCAATTGCCAGTCAAAGGCAAATCATTCTGTTCAATATCAATCTCTCAAATCCCTCCAATATAACTAACAACCATTTATATCAATGTATCAATTAATTTGCCATGGGATTTAGAAGCTAGTGTTAGAACAGACTTCCCTGGCATGATTGGCAAAAAGAGCTTCTTGAGTCCCAGCTGCATAATATATTTTCCACAGATAAATCTTACTATTCTGGGGTTTATTTATCAAAATGGTCATTTAGGAGTTAATTCTCTCTTAACGAAAAGGAGAGTAAGTCAGAAAGCAAAAATCTTTTATTTTTTTTATCATTTGATTAGTGGCCTGTGACTTTCATTATGTGGTCTAATCTGCCCTGTGATCCGACATTCAAGATGAGAAGAAAATATGCTTCAGTCTTCACCCATCTGCCCTACTTTCAAAGTCCCTTTGAAATATTGTTTTTGTTTTTATGAACATATAGAATGCAGCAAATAAAGCATTGAATTATTTTTCTGTAGTTTTTCTTTAGAAGAAAAAAAGAGAAAACTCCTAATGAAGATTTCAAGTTTTAAAAATCCAAACTTTGGGGATTCTTTTCGGGACCTGTACTAACATATCCCAAACTCCCATATCACTAACACCTCCATCTGTGATATACATAAGTCATGATGACATAGAAGTATGATTCAAAAGATAATTTACTTGTACCTAATGTACTCTTTCTGTTTTAGATAAAGGAACTGGATGATGGACTGTGATGAATATGAAGGTTCAAAGGTTCAGATGGAAAACTATTACTAGGCCAACTTGTTGCTTCAACAAACTGGTTACTTAAGTTTTAATTATGCTAAAAAATCATTTGTTATTTGGAAAAAATAAATTTTAAGCTATACTAAGGAAATTGCTTTTTCTTACATTTGCTAAGCTATAGAAAAAAAACACGGCAAGGTGGAAGTAGATAGCATCTGGTACAAACATGGGTTTGTCGTCACTTATTGTTATTTTCAGAAGCATTTTAGTATGATTGAAATTATTATAAAGAAATTATTATTGCAGTGATATTGCCTCATGAAAGGAAAATGATACATTACCAGTTTATATAGTTATGATAAAAAAAATGAATTGTCATGGTATGGTTTCAACTGGGCATTTTGGGGTCACTGACTCTTGTGAGAATTTCTCTGAATGAGTAGAAGGGGCATAACTGTTAAAAGTACAGTACTAAATTCTGGAAGTCATTATTCTGAAAGAAATAGAAATACTTGTTAAAACTGTGGACAGGAATCTTCAGGTTCCTACATTTCAGCAATAAACTGTAAGCCATATTTTTGCACAGAATAGATTAAAACAATCATAAGAAGCCTGAGAAAGTGTTTGTCTTTTCCCTTTTCCCCACTGCTTTACATGTAAGAAGCAGCTTAACCAATATGAACAGTTGTTTGGAAAAACAATTTGCATCTCCACCATCGACTCTGAATGCCAAGTTTTAGCCTGAAGCAAAATCAAATGTCTGTGTTTATTAACTTCTGAGAGATTAGGTTGATGTACTAGTTTCAGACATTTATTGGTATTTATTCAATTGGTCTACCTATTTTATCTTTAAACTTTCATTCAAATGAAAATCAGTAGATGCATTCAAAAATTAAAAATTTGAAAACATTAATTTGCATAGAAATGTTTACTATTTACTCAGTTTGTAGGTGACAAAAATTGAGGATCTTAACAGTCAGAATTGAATCCTAAAAAACCGATTGCTAGGTCAGGTTTGCTCAGGTGTCCCATGCATATCAAAGAAGGATTTCAGGGCTTGGGAGCAAAGGAAACAATCCTTCTCAGTTTAAAATTGTGATGTATCATTAATTTTTATTTCCTATACCATCAAATACTTTTAGGTAACAAATTTACAATTACTTTTATTTTTCCTAGAATGGCAAAGAGCAGACATCCCATGAGAGTTTTAGTTTCAATGTTTGTGTGAACAAAGTCTAGAGGAATCACCTACACTTAGGAGACTACTATTGCCAAGTAATTGGCCAAGTGTCCTGAGTTTGATGAAAAGCAGTTTCATGTTTATAATTCTGCATTTACAGGAGCATGCTTTTTATTACTGCTGGATTGCAGGATGACTCTAAAGGCCCTAAAAGTGACAGATGAGAAGGCTTAGAGACTTCCTTTCCTTGGCCCTAGTGGTTGTCACTGTTGAAGGTGCCAAGAGTACATTCTCCTAAAATTAGACATATAACCGAAGCTCTGTTCACATACTCCTCACCTAGCAGGTGCTGAGTTTCTGTTTGCTATTTCTACTAAGGGCTCTAAATAGATCACTGGAGTTACTTATTTCTGATACACAAATTCCTTGATTCAAACATAGGAATAAATTTGGCCATGGAATAGTGACTGTTTAAAGAAATACTGCTAGAAAGTTGTAGAAAGCCTCTATTGTCAAATAAGTATTAAATCTATCTATATACCTATCTATCTCTGAATCTACTACTGTTTGTTTTTACTGCCAAAATTCATTTTGCCAATTTTCTGCAATCCAGACTTATTACTATAATGAATTTCTTTTCTGCATTTTATAAAAATTTCAGTAGAAAGCAAAAAAGAAGCTAATTGTGTTTAGTGTAAGATAGTAGTCCAGTTTTTATTCTTTCATATGTGGCTGTCCAGTTTTCCCAACACCATTTATTGAAGTTTTTTTAGTAAAACTAAATGCTGCTGCTGCTGCTGCTAAATCACTTCAGTCGTGTCCGACTCTGTGCGACCCCATAGACGGCAGCCCACCAGGCTCCCCCGTCCCTGGGATTCTCCAGTTGGATATATCTCAAGTGAATGCTGCATGCTGCTGCTGCTGCTAAGTTGCTTCAGTCGTGTCCGACTCTGTGCGACCCCATAGACGGCATCCCACCAGGCTCCATTGTCCCTGGGATTCTCCAGGCAAGAACATTGGAGTGGGGTGCCATTTCCTTATCCAATGCAGGAAAGTGAAAAGTGAAAGTAAAGTCCCTCAGTCATGTCCGACTCTTCGTGACCCCATGGACTGCAGCCCACCAGGCTTCTCCGTCCATGGGATTTTCCAGGCAAGAGTACTGGAGTGGTAACACTGGGGGGGTGGGTGGGATGGGTTGCTGTTTCCTTCTCCAACGCATCATGCATGCTAAGTCGCTTCAGTCGTGTCCGACTCTGTGCGACCCCATGGACAGCAGCCCACCAGGCTCCCCTGTCCATGGGATTTTTCCAGGCAAGAACACTGGAGGGTGCCATTTCCTTCTCCAAAACTAAATGTGGACTTATATAAATTCAAGTTTCCCCCAAGTGGTTGCTATAATTCCAAATTATCCAAAAGTTCATCCGTTTTCCAAAAAGTCACAAGATTCTGATCCACAGTGGGTATATGTGCAGAATTCAGGGGTTTTCTGAGGGCGGTGGAACCCATCTTTGCATTTAGATTCCCTGTGAGGTCGTGACTCCAAGGGGACCTGTATTTCTTAAGAGCTGTTGCAAAACACAGGGACTCGTTTTTCTCCCTTTTAAACAGAATAGGGTACTTACCAAAAAGAGTTAACAAACAAAATAGAGGTATGCGCAATAAAGTGGGAGAGCTCAAAGTACAAAGGTCGCGGAGCCTGGACCCAGGAGAGACTCACTCTCAAATCCCAGAGTGGGCAAGAAAGCAAGGAACTCAGTGGACACTGTAGGTACCGGCATGAGTTGGCTCACCAGCCTCCTCGGAGTCCTAATGCCACCTTCTCTCAATCCCACTCTTGATGCTACAAGCTGCCAAAAGTTCAGAAACAACAGAAGTAAAACCAATAAATCCTTAAAGTAGTGATTAATAAAAGTTTATCGTGTACACACCAAAAGGACAGTTTGCAAACTGGAAGCAGTCAACCCCAAACACAGACCAAGGCTCAGGAGTGCATTATTATAAAGCAGCTTTTGTAGTGAGACGGCAGAGATTGTCAATCTTTCCTAGTGACTGGCTATAGATTTGTATTTTCTTCAATGATGGGAAATTAGTTAGAGGTTACCTCATATCAATATTGGGAAACAGTTTTTAAGTTTTGCCTACAATTCCTAGAGCCATAAGCATGAAATGACCCAGGACAAGTTAGTATTGCAAAATAAGCTAACATAAGCTTTGTTTGGATGACTTAACTGGTTTTATCCTCTCACAGAATTTTCAAAGCTGGTCTCTATTGGGGTTTGAT